CCTGCCTCTGCCTCCCAAGTGCTGGGATTAAAGGCGTGCGTCACCATGCCCGGCTATATTTTTATTTCTTATCTGTTTGACAATTAGTGTTTTTGGTTATTCTAATGAATTCCTCAGCTCATCATCCCTCTTGTTTTGGGGTTGGCTAGTTAGTTCCCTTGCACATGTCATTTATTACCAAGTATCATTATGTTTATCACACGTGTGATAACTCACTTTCCTGAGCCCTTGAGTATAAGAGTTCTGTCTTTATCTCTCTAGATTCCTTCCATAATTAGGCTGATTCTCCCAACAGTGTTGTGAACCAGTCACTTTCATTAACTCTGCAGTAATATCTTTTGTAAAGGTTGTAGGTGAAATGTGTTGCTGGTAAACAAGGAAAATTATCTTTTAAATTCCCATCTTTGGGGAGGGGAGGATACAAGTAGGTAATCAATAATGGGTACTTTCAGGGTGAGGATATAGCCTAGTGGTAAAGTATTTCCTAGCATGCCCTGGGCAGAGCTCAACACTCAGCCCTCAAGAAAACAAAACCAAAAAACAAACACACAAAAAAACTCTCATCTCTGAGAGTATCTGAGAAGAAAAGTGGAAGGTGGCGTTGCTGGCACATCCTCTTGGCAATGCCCTGCCTCACATTCAGGTTTCTATTAACAGACAACTGGGCAGAGTTGATGGAAGTCAACCATGATGACAGAGTGGTCACCACTGAACACTTTGATCTTTCCCAAGAAATGGAGCGCCTCACCCTGGACTTAATGAAGCCGAAAAGCAGGGAAGTTGAGAGGCGGCTCACAAGCCCAGTCATCAACACCAGCCTTGATACTAAAAATATTGCTTTTGAAAGGTATGAACTTATATTCCAGGTTTAATGTGGAGCTCTGGTTCTGTCTTTGGTGGCATGGATGCATTTATTGGAAATGATGACTGGATTGGGTTTTTTTTTTTTTAATATGGCATAATGAATACCAGTGGCTTTAAAGAGTGATGTCTGATGCTAACCAAATAGAAACTGTAGCTGATAGCCTACACTGCACATCACTTTTTAGCACATGGTTTGTCTTGTCTTCATGTGTTCTTAGGGCATTTCTAGTGTATTACCTTAGAGCTTGCTTGTTTTATTTTGGTGTTTTTTTATGCACAACACTCCCTCATCCCAAATTGTGGAGGTTTGAATTTCTAGAAGCTAGAATTGACCAGAGTTGAAATCAGTTGGATTGATAATAACCAGTCAGATTTGTCCTTACTGTACATAAATATGTTTATTTTTTCGGCCTGTGAGGCCTAATAGTATAGTACAAGAGTTTGAAGGGGGCTCAGTCCTTTCCAGGTCCTGTGAGGAAATCTGTCCCAAGAAGCTATGCCTTGGCTAATCCAGATGGGAACACCATCCCTAGCCATCCATCTGTGAGTCATGCAGAGGATGTGGGGGACATTTGAACATAAGGGGGTAGAAGCTGCCATATGGCTCTACCATGAAGCACAGTGAACCAAGGGAGTCTACAGAATCCCTAGTATTTACCTAGGTTGTCACATCCAGCTAGCTGCCTATAAACCAGATTAGTATAACCCGAGCTAATCTGGACACTGTTCCAGGATTTAGGAATTCTTTTCTTTCCTTGAAAATGCTGACTGACCTCTTTTAAAAGTTTTCTTTCCTTCTGTTTCCAATATAAAATTCGTAAAGAAAATTGGGAGATTTCTGTTTAATTTAAAACTTAAGTGCCTCTTTCTCCTCATTTAAACCAGGCTGTGAAAGCAGGGTGTCTGTAACAGAAAGCAAGGCTAGGATGTACAGCTTGAGTCATGTCTAGGGGCTGTTCTGCTTTGGAAGGAGCAAGAGCATCCTGGAAGAGGGAAGTCCTCTTGTCGACTTCCTTGCCTGGGGACAGAGAAGTTTAGGGACTGAACGCGCCTCTGCAGGCAGGGGGGCCCTTTCCGCATAGGGCTCTGTACGCCTGGAAGTGGAGGAGGTTGCCCTCACTGCCATAGCCATTAGTAAGGACTGAGTGCCATTGGCAAGGCTGCCAAGTAACAGTGACTTTGGGCAAGTGGCCTGATCTCTCCAGTTTCTTGTTTCCGTAGCTTAAAGAAAAGACAAGTGACTTTGGAAGTAAAGCCTCTGAAATCTTTAGCTCTGAGGTCAAGAGAGGAGAGATTATTCCCTATGCAGCTCATCAGCAGGGTTGTTAGGTTCATTGTTTGCAATGAAGTGTAACTTAACAGGGAATGTGGCATTTACTGGCTTTAGCCCACTGAGTGCAGATGGGAACAGAGAACCCATTCCATTTGTACTGAGGATCAAGGTACATTGTGTATTTGTGTGGTCACAAGGTTTTTAGACAGCTCAAGCTGGCTCTTGTCTTGAAGTTGACAGTGGGCTATTAAGCAAGAGCTTCTGGAAGATAGTGTTTTATCTCCAATGCTAATAATTACATGTGTGATCCAGTAAAACCTTGAGCGGCTCTTGAGTATGAGGTTCACTGAGGTGTGAATGTTCATTGATTGGAGCTCTCTCCTGTTTTATATGGAAGGTGTGCCCTTCCATCTTTATGACCATTACTTTGTCCTTTTCTCGTAGTCTGTTTATAGGAGTTTGATGCTTACAGATGACTATCCTCCCTACCCTGATGGGCTTTGGGTGGGCAGTATATGCTGGTTGTACTTTGGATTTTATTCTTTCCTGAAAGGTTATGTGTGTTGTACCTGCATCAAGAAATCCCTGCCACTTCAGAGCTGTCCTCTCTGCTGTGTAACACAGTGCCTACTAAATGGCCTTTGGTGTTTTGGTTTCAGGTGGGACAGGCAGGAGGAAGCTCTGTGCTTGTCATCTTCAGCCCCACATGCCTGTGTACATAGTTCACTGTGGAACAAGGAGTCATTAGCAGCTGGCTTTGAGACAGTTGACACCAGCTTTCTAACTGAACTGCTGTCAGAGTGCAAAGGGCAGCAGAAGCCAGAGCAAAGGCAGACAGCTAGAGAGCTTGGTGGGTCCATCACAGCTCACATGCAGATGAGGTGGAATAGGTGTCACCCCTCAGTCTCCTAGGAAGCTTCATGCTCGAAAACAGTTTCCCAGCCTAAAATGTCAAATGACTTCTGCAAAAACAAAGAACTGAGGAATATGCAGGTAACTAAGAAGATCCTGGTGTTTTAGTTGCTGATGGCAGCAAGGAGTGTGGTCTGGTAGTCAGCTGGGTGTGGGCCTAGCCCCTGCTCCTGCTTCTGCAGTGGAAGTGGAAGTTGCTCCTTCTGAGTCAGGTTATGCTCATTCAAGGTACTCAAGAGGAAAATCAATGCCGTGAATCCTCCTTTTTATGGTATACTAAAACATATAAAATTCATTAGTCTCCATGAAGATTAATGTGATTTACCAAATCCATTAGAAGACAAGGGAACTGGAAACATAAAATTTAAAACTGCACTTTGGCCCTATGACTTGGCTAACCTGCCATTCTCTGAGCTTCCTACATGACCTTCCACCTGACTAAGGTATTAGAGCAAAAGGCAGGCCAGTAGAGCTAGGGTGTAATGTCCTAGACAAAGGGTGAGCCAGGCAGGGCTCCCCTCTGAGCAGAGGCATTTCTCAGGACTAGGTGCTCTGACAAAGAATCACAGTAAGGAGTAGTAGTGACCCATGTCTTTAATCCCAGCACTCAGGAGGTACAGAAAGGAGGCTCTCTAGTTTGGGGCCAGCCTAGACTACATAGCAAGATCCTGTCTCAAAACAAAAAAGAAAAGAAAAAGAATCAGAACCTAGAAACTTAGAGGCTGTTCTTCGTTCCTGGATATCTCTCCTCCCTGCCCCCTCAGTATATGTAGAGTTGAAAACTGGGTTTCTGGGTGTCTACCAGCGTTGCAGCTGGTAATGTTGCTGAAATCCTGGGCCACCTTAAAAGCAGTTCTATAGACTAGAATCAATGGCTGGGCTGAAAAACCGCTTTTCATATCCCTCCCTTCTTCTGTTCTAGACCTTATAAACATTCAGATTCTTCAGCCTTTTTACAAGCTTTAATGGTCTCTCCTGACCTTTTGCTACAGTGATGAGTTCTGACCCCACCTACTTTCCTCCAAAGCAGGGTACTCTGTGTTTCATTGTTCTAAGAATTCCTGAATAGAGAGAGCCTCTAAGGCCCCTGCCCATAGTTTACTTGACCAACATACATGTTCTGACCCAGATACCTCCTTGTGGCAAGCAAGCCTTTGAATGCTGGTCATCTTCACTCACTTCTTTAGGACAGCTGTCCAATAAATATAACCACCTTTGTCCCCTTTGCTGGCAGTTCCTGTAAAGAAGCCAAGAATGAAGGCTTTCTGTGCCTGGAGTGAGGCAAATTGATCACTAACTGCGGGAGGTGGGTTGGGGGTGTTTAAGCCATCTGTCATTGGCAGCATCCTTTTGTGGACAACAGGACTGATTTCCAAGTGTCCTTCACTAACATAAGCTGGGGGAAAAACTATAAAGGCTGCAGGGGTAAATCTGAATGGCTTATTGTACATGTGGAAATTTGTGGTGTTCACTTTTTATCAGAACTAAATCCGGATTCTGGGGCTGGAGGACAGATAAAGCAGAAGTTGTTAATGGTTACGAAGCAAAGGTAAAAGGAAACTCTTAAAATAAGATTTAATATAGCTGTTTAGCTTCTATGCAAATAAGGAGTCTGTTCAAATTGTTTTCATGCATCTATGCCATGAAGATACTCAGGGGAATAAGTACTGTCTAACGTATTCCTTACTGGGTATTTTCTTTTATCTCTTATGATGGATGTTTCATTTTCTCTTATAGGACTTTCAGAAATGAGGTAGAGGAGGTCTGCAGGGTTCCTAAAGAGAAACAGTATTGTTGTTAAGGACTGAGTTACAGGCACCAACTCTCCCACTGGGAAGGATAGGCCAATCATTCCTTTGAGACCTTGTTAAAGAATTAGATTTAATCTGTTTATCTTCTTTAATAGCTGGAATAATGTTTTTGAAAAAGTTATCACATAGTAAGTAGCTTTTGTGATGAATCTTTGTTCTTATGTTTTAGTTTAAGTCTTGATTTTTCAAAAATGAGCCCAATTATAGCCAGTAGCCTCCTGGCCGGTTACACAGCACACTGCTGCAATGGTGGGGATGACAAGCCAGCCAGCTGACATCCTGTCAGTTGACAAGCTATTTGCTGGCCTTTCCTTAGTCTTACAGTACAGCAGGAACTGATGGCTGGCTGGGACAGCTGATGTTTGCGCCCTGTGTGCAGGGTCCTGCTGGCCTCTCAGTCAGCAAAGAGAGTGACGTCATGCCCAGCAGGATGCATTTAGAAACAGCTGCTGTGGTGCCAGGTGTGTCCTGCAACTTTCAGCACACAGCTAATCCAGGCCAGTCAACCTGACAGCAGTGTCTTTCGTAGATACACCTTTATTTTTTTTTTTGGTCTGTAGGCAAAAGGTCTGTTCAGTAGTGACTTGCTGGTTTTCTCCCAGTCTCCCAGGTCTAGAGAACCTGTGTCCATTCCTTCTGCCCAGCAGATGTCAGTACTCTGAGAACACCACACTCCCTCAGCTGAAGTCCAGAGGCGAGGTTGGGAGCATTGGAGAGCCCAGTGGGAACCCTAGTTATAAGACATTTATTTGAGACCCTTTAGCAATGAGAAGGGCAGGTATGAAGATGCAGCTTGTCATGACTCCTCTAGCAAAGTGTTGAATACAGGAAGCGACTGCTGAGCATCCTAAGTGGATGGCTTATATGTGCTCTCTGAAGGAGCCTAACAATGCTGGCCGTTTCTCATGTTCATTGTGATGTTTTTTCTTTTGGCCTCAGCGTTCTTGTTCTTGCTGTGCTTATTTCTAAGTTTTGATTCCCTGCGTCACTGTTTTCTTTTGTGCATATCTCTCAAGGTTTACACAGTAAACAATGTGAATGTGATAACCAAAATACGCACAGAACATCTGACGGAGGAGGAAAAAAAGAGATACAAAGGTAATGATGCCCACTCCCTGTCTCCTTTTCTCCCATTGATTGACTGATTGTGTAGAGAGAACCTTTGTTAGCTCTGTTAAGTCAGGGGTTAATGCGTTCAGACCTGTGAACCCTAACTTCTTTGTAACAATGTCCTTAGTTTGACTCATTCTTGAAGTGCTTTTTTATAGTTGGCTTCAGTTGTAATTAAAGCCATTCATGAGGGCTTATTTATGTGTTTTTGCAAATGACTGCTGGATTTAGCAGAAAGCAGTATGGCAGATAAAGATGTTGAGTATTGTCACTGGAATAAGTGGACTAACCTGTGCTACCCTGATGAAAGATTTGCATGGAACTTGGATTTGAGTCAAGTCACTGCAATATGTGGTTACCCTGGCCCTGTCTGCTCTGTGGCCTGGTGAAGTTATGCTGCATGCCTCAGTTTCCTAGGCAGTGGCCTGGAGGTGGGTTTCTGAGAGAATGAGATCAGTTCCTATGCCATTGCTCCAGATTGGCAGGCCAGGGAACTGAGCTAGAACACAGCCATGATTGGCCACCATGGGAAGAGAACTCACGTCTGTCTTGTCACAAAGCCAGGCGCCGCCTTCTGTTCTGCTTGAATTTTTTTCCTTTTTCTAATTGATGTATGTTAATTGTATAAAATACAGCTTCTGCCAGGCGTGCCTTTAATCCCAGAACTGGAGGCAACAGGGAGATCCTATTGCAGAAAGGCTAAAAAGTAAAAATAAAATAACAGGTTTCATTGTGACATTGCCTGAATTCTTGCAGTGGTCCATCTAGTTTAGAGATCCTAACAAAAAGTGTATGATAAAGGATAAACTTACTTTTGGGGGGGGCTTGAGACAATCTCCCTGAAGCCCCAGCTGGCCTGAATTCACTATGTAGACCAGGCTAACCTCAATCTCAGAGGTCCACCCAACTCTTGCCTCCTTAGTGCTGGGATTAAAGGTGTTCACCACCATGCCTGGCCAGAATAAATTTACCTCTGATAATCTTATCAACCAGCCTACAAATGGAATCCCTAATGTAGGTACCTTGGATCAGAAACTGTAAAGTACTCTGAGCATTCTGTTGTTCTTTCCCCCACTGTAGCAGACCGAAATCCATTGGAATCTCTGCTGGGAACTGTGGAACATCAGTTTGGTGCTCAAGGGGTAAGTTAGACATGGGCAGTCATTGGATCTTAATGGGAAGATCCACCCTTTCTGGGATGACCTTACTGAGTAGGCCATTCTGTTTGACAAGGTTAACAAAACTCCCAATTTGGCCTAAAGCTATTCTTTTGGAAATGTGTTAGATGAATGAACCCTTGAAGTCAAGATTTTGGAGGACTGTAGATCCTAGAATCAGGTGCTCTCTCTCAGCTGTCTTAAACAAGGGGTTCTGTTCTATAGACAGGCACTTAAAAGAGTCAGAACCTTGCATTGTACCAGAGCAGCTTGACAAACATTTTCCTACTTAATCCCTAGATAATTGGGTGCAGTTGATACAGCAGATGCCATTGAGGGTCCTTTCCAGTGTTGAAGCTAAGTCTTTCAAATTGCACACTCTCACGTATTTCTGTCTTTTATAATCAGGAGATAAACATGAAAAGGAGGATGGACATGGGTTTATTTATTTATTTATTTATTTATTTACTTTTTGTCTTCTTGAGACAGGGTCTCCCTATAGCCTCAGCAGCTGGCCTAGAACTCACTACATAGACCAGGCTAGCCTAGAACTCACAGAGATCTGCCTGCCTCTGCCTCCCCAGTGCTGGGATT